AAAAAAAAAAAAATCAAACAGCCACAGGTTATAACTGGCTGATGACCTCAACAGATTTTTAAAAACCTAGTAAGAATTGGATGAAAAGCCTAAAAGATAAGATTACTAACCCAATCTGTGAATCTCCCTCCTTTATCTGAGAAAGTGGCACGGGGTGAGGAGTCTGTTCCAGACTCTTTTCTGTAATTGCAGTGTGACCCTGTAGCTGATTATACTTATGCCCACCTACCTGCATGGGACCTGTGAAGCCAACTCACTGCATTAAGCTCCTACTGGGCAGGGATTCTGTTCTTCCTGGAATACATTTTCTTAAGTTCTGGGCCCATTATCATTCCATATTAGGAGAACAGAGGCTGTCATTAGATTTGATTAGTGTTACCCAATTACTCCCATCGTGCAAAAATAATTTTTTTTGAAACAGAAAAAAATTTTTCTATTCTCATCCTATTTCAATAACATGAACTCCTTTCCATGCTGGCAACATTCTATTATAAATAATTATAAAATTATGATTCTAATTGAAAACTCTTTTGTAGCAGTGGTATGTGAGGAATTATTTGTGACTACAGAAGTAGGAAGAATCCAGAATTAATGTTTTACAAGGATACCAGTGGCCAGGCAGTAGAGGCAGCAGCCTGCTGCAGGTTCAAGAGCTGTTCTAACTGTGGTGACCAGGGACCACCCACTCAAGACTGTGTTGGGGATGCAAATCAAGTCAAGATGGCACCTGGCACTTTTCCAGGAGGAGTGGTTTGTGAAGCAACGCCATCGAGCCATTAAGATGATGAGGATTCCTTATTGGCTGACTGCTGTATCTAGATGATGTTAATTAGGTTAAGCTGTGTGTAATTAGTTAAGTATATGTACCTCTGCTGTCTGGCAGAGAGGCAGCTCCTGCTACTTTGAGTAACTGGAGGTGACAAGCAACTTGAAGGTTGAAGCGGGAACTACTTTATTGCAAGTGAACTCAGCGGGAACTGATAGAGAACTCAAAGTAGCGGGCACCCAGGGTAGCAGGAGCCGATTCTCTGCCGGACAGCAGAGGTATATATACTTAACTAATTACACACAGCTTGACTCAATTAACATCATCTAGATACAGCAGTCAGCCAATAAGGAATCCTCATCATCTTAATGGCTCGATGGCGTTGCTTCACAAACCACTCCTCCTGGAAAAGTGCCAGGTGCCATCTTGACTTGATTTACATCCCCAACAAGACTGTCTGTGGCTTTGCTTATGGTACAGCAAGCACTCACCAACACCATCAAGATCTGCTTAATTTTCACCTGAAATCCAAACACTGCTCCCACATAGCCTGTTGGGTTCACACCTCTCTCTTGGTTGGAGTCTCAAAGGGATGAGGTAGTGACAGCCTACGATGCCCAGGGACTAATGGAAGGACAGTCATTCCAGAAGCATGGCAGTTTCTGTTCAATTGGGTTTTGTGCATCTCCCTCTATCTTCTTTAAATGGCCTTGTTATTTTTCCCTGAGTATTTTGTTGTTGTTGTTGTTCTTAGTTTTTAAGCACAAAGTAAACTCTTTGCAATTTCTTACTCCAAAGCCTCACAAAGTTAAAAACTGCCTTTGAGTTGCACATTACCTCAGATTTACTTTATTTTTCCTGAGATTTGTTGTCCTTAGTGTAATAAAGGTGTTCTATCCTTTCTCCATTGTACAGCATAAAGGAAAACCAGCCAAACAAAGTAATTAGTTTGGGAAATTTTTTCTTCACCCACCACCCATTTTGTTCTAATTCCAAGGAGTCTGAACAATCTCTTATCAAGAAAAGGTATGGTGGTGGGGAGGGTATTAGAAAAGAGAGGGAAAGAAAGAAAAGGACATAGCAGATACAAACTATGAAGTGGATAAATGATTTTACATCTTTTACTTTGAGCATTTTGTCTGTTTCTTTCATGTCTATAATACTGAGATGATTCCCCAAATTTGCAGAGACATTTAAGCATCAATAGATGCATCACTAACTGAAAATGGCATGGTGGGTTGGAAAGACATCTAGACAGGAAGCTCAGCCCCAGGTTGGCATTAAAAGCCTGCTACATAACCCTGAGCAAACCAATTTAATTTTATGAAGGTGCAGATCTTTATCAATAAATCACGGCACTATCATCTATCCTCCCGATCTCATTATAAGGATCAAATGAAATGGTAAATGTAAAACCACTTTGTAACTTGCAAATAATAATAATAGCAGCAAACTATTATCATTACAATTATTTTTGAATACCTACTGTGTGCCAAGTATCATTTTAAATGCTGTACATGAAAACTCATTTAATCCTTATACCTTATATGTAGGTACCATTACCCTCATTTTACATGAGAAAACAGAGGTAAGAAGGGCTAAGTAATTTGTTCAAGGTTTAAAAGGTTTATGAGCTTCAATTCAAACCAGGCAATTGGATTTCGGAGCTTGATGCTTTACTCTTATATAAACCTAAACTTAAAATCATGTAATCTTAGAATAAAATTGATAAAATTTGATGACATGCTGTTCAATACTTACTTCTATAGGAAAGCTTTTATTGAAAATTAAGGATAGTGGACAGTACCTACAAATCAATTAAATACCCTAGAAATGGTGGCTGCTCTTACAAGCATGTTTACAGTCCTGATCCCAACAAGGTAATTAAGGGCAAAGTTACTCTTTCAGAGTTAACAAAAAGAAGGCACTAGCATTGTGGGCAGCTAGGCAAAGAATCTGAAATAGATCTACAGAATTACATAGATATATTTATACTGCATTTAGAAAAACATTTATTGAAACTCTTCATGTGAACATAATTCTTCAGTTACGGACCAATGGATATGCCCAAGGCCAAATGTAAGCTATATTTAAAGTAAGACAAATATAAACTGATTGTACAATTTTTCTTTCATCTTAACTCTAGGAATATCACTTAGGCTCAGAGATGCTGACTGCTGATTTTGGTTAGCAATTGAAGAGAAAGCCAGAAAATTCAGGTATAGAAATAAATACATGTTCTTAATCAACCACTCATACCTGCTACCTGCAGAAAACCTATTAACTTCTTTTTCTTTTTCTTTCCATTTTTTTCCTTTGTTGGAATTTCTTCGCAAAGGTGCCCTATAATGACAGCATACAGTCAGAAAGGGGGAGTGGAAATTTCCTCTTTAATACTCCTTTTACAGAGGGCTTGCTTTTTACATCATGAAGTGCTTACCCCAGATCCACAAACTTCCGCCTAATTTTTCCTCCTTGTTTCACCAATGAACTGGATGCCCTTAGTGATTTTGGACATTTGGCATCATCTAGGATATAGACATATATGAAAAGGATAAATTATTATTTTTTAAAGCCATGGATCAAAAATCAGTGCATATCTGAATCTAAGAAATTTGCCTAAATTCCTAACTGTGGTAGAAGATAATGGATGCCCTTTACAAAAGACATTGGCATGTGCCATGTTGAAAAACAGTCACTTAAGCAGGAGAGGTCCTGTTGGACAGAGGCCCAATACTCACCACTAAAAGTATTAGTGTCAATCCCACTGGAATGAACGAGAGAAGCAAACAAACAAACAAAAAACAAAAACCACTATCACACTGTCCTCTGCTTCAAAGCAGATCTTCCTTTTGTCCTTTCTCTGGCTCCAACTCTTGGTTTGAATGCCTGGGCTCTGTTTTCCACACCTAGCCTTTGGTTTTGTAGCCTCTGAAGAAACTCAACCCACTTTCTCTGTGTCCTCAAAGCTCAGAAGAAAATATCACCTGAGAGTCTAAGAGACTTACAGTGACAATAAAGGTAAAGTTTTCACTTGCTCAGGTGAGTTTTCACTTGGACAGGTGAGGGTAAAACACGGGGAAGACTCTTAGGAGCAGCTATAAAAGATATCTTTGAAAGGTCCTTCTTAATAGTTGGGTTGGAACACAACTTGGCTGGCCTCCCATGATGTGGAAGACACCCAAATTTCAGTGCTTGGAGCTGCCTGATCTTTACCTCTTTGAGTTACATGGGCACTCTAATGGGACAGCAGCTGCTGGGGGTTGGGGACACTCCAAAGGATGCCAAAAATCAATCAGAAGGGAGGCCTGCAAATGGTGTTCCATGTCAACTGTGGCACTATTCCACCTGTTTTTGTGTGTGATACCACTCCTTTCTAATTGCCTGTTGGTTTCTGTCTCTAACTTTAAAATTCTTGAATTTTAGGAACTTTCTGGCATGAAGCATAGATAGAACAGGCCTTTTAAGATAGTGTTCAATTAACCTTGCAGGTTAATTTTGCTTACGAGTTTCGTACACTTCAGGAGAAATTTTAAATAGACAACAACATGTATCCTTAAAAAATATGAAGTGCACACACAGTTCTCATTTAGGAGTCTAGCTTCAAAGCTCTTAAGCAGCACAGGACACTGACAAATACTCCAAGGATTTTTAGCAATGAGCATTTCATATTTTTAGTTAATGGTACTCAGATTACAATAATCAATTCCTTGAAAATGTACATAATGAAATACAAGAGTTAGAAATATGTCGTGTCAAAATCCACTTCTAGCTTAAAATATTTATTATGGATATTTGCATCATTACTCTTTGAGTAACTGAATTAAATAGCCACCAATGTGACATACACACACATAAAAAAAAATCCACAGACATGGCACAAATGCCTTCTAAGGTGCTTTTGCTAATGGACATTTAAAAAAGCAGGATTTCAATTTTCTTAATAGAAGCTGGAGAAAATAAAGTGATGAATTCTTCCAGATTAATCCTAAAGCAACTCTTAAAGGCTAGGACTATGCAAAATTTAAAAAATACTGCCTAATTATTTTCTGAATTACAGGTAGCTGGGAGGTATTTTAATGAGTGAAGAGAGGGCCAGCTGAGAAAATGTACATAGAAATGCTCTTTACCTATTAGTGTTACAGTTATTTGGACATCTTAGGACTAAAAGCCTGATTCTGGCCATCACAGAACCTGCTGCTAGGCAACCAAACATCACTATCTGACCCATTTGCCAAAGTGTGTTCCAAGGAACACTGAAGAGGTAGGGTTAAATTAATCAAATCCACCTTTAATGCACATGAGAACTTCTAATCCATATACAAACCAATACTGGCTTGGCCTAGTTTCAGGAAAAGATAAATGTCACATTTTAAAAACTTATTTATTAAGACTTCCATTAGGCTTTTAGAAATTTCTCTAATACTTATTTAGAAGTCTGAGACACCAAACTGAGTGGGTTGGCTTTAGGCTTTGGTTATGACAGTCTCCTATTATAACTCTGCCACTGTGGCCTACAAGTAAGCACATATAGCTTTCATTTCCAAAGGTAATAAATTATCTACGGCTAAATCCTGAGGCCTTTTCTTGATCTGCATTGTTCTCAATCTCACTGCAAAAAGATACTTGACTGTCCCTTCTTTTATGATGGGGACACCCAAATCTACCTTCCTGCCCTGGCCTATCTCTTGAGCTCATGACCTCCAATGTTTTTTTTTTGTTTGTTTGTTTTTTAAGAATTAACCATATTTACCCTGTGAAGTCTCTTTTCTTCTTTTCTGTTAATGACAAACCCCATGCTCTGAGGCTAGAAACCCTATGACTAGTTATAACTCACTTTCTTCCCCCTATTATTTAGTCAGCTTACGCTTCAAGGGTTCTTTCATCCTTCTGTCCTGTTATTGACAAGGGTTCTTCTTTATAGCTTATCACCTCTCAGTGTGTCTCATTTAGCCTTCCGATACCTAGTACCCTTTCTTTGCTCAAAACAAACTTGTGGTTTCCTAGTAATCTGAAGGTATTTCTGATTTAAATTCTAAAGCTATAGACTTAACCTACTACCTGTTCACTCTGATGCTCAACAATTCCCCTGCATAAACAAACTGCTTCAGCCAGCTGGGATAGCACCATCCTTCTCATGCAGGTTATGTCGTTGTGTCTGTCTCTGTGAATGTCCACTCTGCCTTTCATGCCCTCCTTACCTGGCCTTTCTTTCTTTCTTCTTCTTTTAAAGTCTTTCAATGGTTACTTTAGTTGCATTTTATTTGTCAAGTTTTATTTACCAACCTTAGCTGGATGTCACCTCTCTCTCCTCTAAGCAATGATATAGTTTTACCATATTTATCATTACAGAGGCCTAGTCTAATATTTTAATAAGAAGTGAATCCTGCAAAGTTTTTAGAAAGCTAAATACTATTTACCATATATTAATTCAATGAAGATTTTTAAAGGCATGCTGTGTCAGGCAATGTGCTACTAACTATATAAGCTTAGAATAATAATCTCTAGTATTTAAAAGCAGAAAACTGATAGTGTTTAATTTACTTAACTTTGATTGGTCAAAGGTCCATTGCTATGCAAGCCTAGAGACAAAAATTTCATTATTAGGGTGCTTATATAAGAGGAATAAGGAAAGTATTTTTATGGCTCTTATTGCCGTAAAATCTTGTTATACAGACCTCTAGGAAAAAAAAATCTTTACTTCCTCTAATTTAACTGACATTCTGTTAGAGACTTATCATTAAGCTAGTTATAATGGGACTCTTTCTATCCCAGTGTTTCTATGGTCCCTCAAATTTGAGGAAAAATGATGACATGCCATTGTGGTACTGACAAAAATTTAAGAAAAACCCAACTCCAGTTTGAGCATATTGAGAATATTATTTAAAATTCTAAATAAATGGCAACCAGTGACTAAGCCATCTTCAGAGTTTATCCAGCAATGTGGAGTGGAAAGATACTTCTAGACTAGGAATCAAGAAGATTTTTCTATAATGAGACAGGGAGTAAGTATTTTACGTTGGTGAGATACACAGTCTCTGTCATACCACTCAACTCTGCCACTGTGGCCTGGAAGTAAGCATATGTAGCTGGAAGAGTATGGCTGCATTATAATAAATATTCATTCACAAACCAGGAAGTGGCAGGGCTCTGCTTATGGATCCTGTCCTAGACAGCTGCATTAGTAGTCTGGAGTATGATAGTACTTCATCCAGAAACTTACTAAATATCATTTACAGGTCATATTCTCTTAGGGACAAAAATGCAAGGATTAATATGTGAGGCAATTTTGGCTCACACTGATTGCTAAATCACTTATTGCACATAAGGTGATGGAGGCAGAAGTAGCAGTGAAAAATTCTCTGAAATCAGAGAGAAAAAAGAATAATGTACTCTGCCTGGAAATGGAGTGACTGGGCCTAATACTTCATTAATGAGGTGAGAATTAAACTGGGTTTTGAAGAAGGATCTGGATTTTCCTGGAGTGTGGTGTTAGATGAGATTGTAAGCATGAGATCCAGTTTGTCCCTGTAAACATCACTAAGTCCTTTTTTAGTTTCTTCGCTGATGAACTAACGAATTGTAAGAACCACACACATAAACATACACCAAGAGGGAAACCATAGGTTAACCATACCTAACCTCTCCTGAGTCATGTCAAATGAACATGGAAGGCACAGGAAACTCTTTGAGGCTGGAAACTTATATCAAGGTAATAAGAGAATGTGAAGTTTTGACACAGCTTGAGTCCAGGTCAGAATAGCAGACCAGTTTCACACAGCAAGGAGCACAAGGGTTTTATAGAACATTATCCCACTCTGTCAATCAATGCTGCATCAGCCTCTGCAACATCCTAACAAAAGGAACACAGGATTTCCCTAAAGTCTGAATGACACCAAGGTCTATTTTTTGGAAACTAGGTGGGAGGGCTGTGGGAGAGCTGCAGGGTAGTGGTGCTTATAGTGAAACAAGCAGGTCACCAGCATGCTCATAGGCCAATGGCCATGATCTGTGTCCACATCCAGTAAACTTGACTCTAATTTTATGTTCACTGAGCAACTTTCTGAACCTACCAACTAGACAAGACAGAACAAAACAAATAAAGGATGTTTGTTAATAAGTCACCTGATCTTCCTAAAGTAAATCAGCCTTCTGCTCTGGGAATCAGTGTTTTGTAGGTTTGAACAGCATGAATCAGTCACCCTGAGCTTGAGTGAAGCCGGGTATATTATTGGGATTCTGGATTTAGAAAACTGAGGTCAGACCCTTAACTCCCCAAGGCACTGTCTGGCAACAGGACTATGTCTGAGTCAGTGGCTGAATGGTTTCCCTCTTTGACACTGTTCAAGTGTGGAAAGACAAGAAGCACAGTGTCTTCCAGTTGTTGCCAGTGGTGGTCAGTGGGGGTTCATAGAAACAAGGTCACCAGAGGAGCAAGCTAGCAGGAGGTTCCAGAATAGAAAGGGTTGGGGAGGGGAAGTGGAAGGGGGAGGAGGGGGAGGAGATGACAGCAGACAGACTGTCTCTAGTAGGCACACTCCTTGAGGGAAAGGACAGAATCCTGTTTGTTTCTGTATATTCAGCTTCACCATGAAGCCTGACACAGCCAGTACTCAGCAACTGCTGAGTGAACACGTGAATAACTGGATTAATGTCAAATGAACATGGAAGGCACAGAAAACTCTTTTGAGGCTGGAAACTTGTATCTAGGTTATGAGAGAATGGGAGGCTTTGACACTGCTTTCATCTATCCACCATTAGTACCTAGCAATGGTCACCATACCAGTCACTGACTATTTATAAAGTTAGTATTTTATCAAAGCTCAGTTCACTGCTCCTGCTTTGTTATATATAACTCTGACCAGCCCAGCAGAACTGAAAATGAGAAAGCCCAAGTACTTGGTCTCTGGAAAAGAGAGACTTCCCACCTCTTGTCTTTTGTCCTGCTAAATTCCAAAGGAAGAAAGGGAGGCATCAGAGGTGAGGTGAAATTCTCATATTTTACTGCTATGCTACTGCTAAAGGACCCTAAAGCACAATTCATATCCAGGGACTACTTGTCCAATCTGAGAGGAAATATCTACTAACCTCAAAGAATCATAAATAACTTAGAAGTAAAAGGCAGAGATAAATAATCTAGACAGGGCTTAACTACTTTTAAAAATCTTTGGGTGAGATTTCACGTGTTATTACGATGTGATTTCCCTCAGATAGCAAGCAATATCTTATAAATTCACACAGTGGATCTCAAATTATTAACTATTAGCTCCAAAGGATGTTCATCTGCTATTTTGCCTTTTTATGGATCAGAGTCTATACATATCTTTTTTTGAAAAGATAATAATGAGCTTGCTACAATTGTATCTCTATGAAAGTGCTACCAAAACCCCTATTTTGGGTTAATTAATAAAAATTCTGGAGTCTTTAATTCTTTTAATTCTGCATCACAGTCAACTGACCACTGCTTTAACAGGTTCCACTGGTACTCGGTACTCCCTAATACTCAAGTATTGCCTCCTTCAAGAAGAGCTGAAGTTAGGAAAAGTATGTAAGAGAAAACTGTAGTGGCTCACAGGTTCAGGAAAGGGAACCAAGGAGAAAAAAATTAGGAATAACACTTGAATACTGACCAAAAGTTATGAAGAAGTGTGAGCTCTACAGGCACCTGTATTTCTATGTTTACAAAATGTTTGTGGAAAGATTACAATTCCTGATCTGATGGAGAAAAATTAGTAGAGTTTTAAAAACTGTGGTGATGCATAATCACACCTGTAGTGTATGAGTGTCTCACACTGTTACCAGCACTGACTGATCAAATTTCAGTCTGAAGATGTTAGCATTCTGACAAATTTTTGTAATTAGATATGTAATTTAAATGATCATGTCTTGATCATTAGTGAGGTTGATTATCTTTTCATATCTTATAAATAATGTGCATTTTATCTTCAAGGATTTAACAGTTTCTATCATTAGCTTATTTTTTACATTTAAAAAATCAGTTCTTTGGAACTACTTGTATTTTAAAGATAAAGTCCAGCCATTACCTTTGTATGTGAAGTTTTTTGTTGTTGTTGTTTATTGACTGCAGAAGTTGAGAGTACTTATAAAGTAGGCAGAGAATATAAGCAAACATCATTAAAACAAAACACCCATTTGTCACCTAGCCTGATGAACTGCAGTTGACAAGAATGGGGTCCCTGGCACATCCCTCCCAAGGACCACTCCTGCCATTCCCATTTGGGACCTCAAAAGTTTGTATAGTGATGTGGTCAGGTGAGAAGGGCACATGGCTAGACACTGGGGTGAGGGGTGGAACCCCAGAATCTGATGACCTAAATAGTTTTGTTTAACTTTATGTAAATAAAACTATATATATATATATATATATATATATATATTCTGTAACTTATTTTTTAGTTGCTGTCTTATTCCAGAGATTCATCCCTATTGTTATATTTCAGTGTATTTTATTCATTTACATATGTCAAAAAGTATTTGAATGTGTATATGTAGATTTCTTTTCAAATGTGAAAGATAATACAATCAAATTTATTTAGTTTACTTTAAATAAAAACATCAGAACAGGAAGGAGAATAAACCTATGCCTTATACCTCTCAACATTGGTTAGCTTGTTTAATCAATAATTTATTGTTTCTATAAAGTAAAATATATAATTAAAAAGACAAAAGTCTACTAATGCTGCTATAAAATTTTGGTGTAATTCTAAGAGCCTATTTTAAAATTTAATTTATTTGACCAGCCTCCCTGTGTTATCTTTATCATAGCTATTCTATTACACTCACTGTAATATAAATTGTTATTACGAAAAGTTGTGACCTACATCACTTTGATCTTCAATATATATTATTTTTTCTCTGTGATGATGTTAGTGTTTATTGAAACTATGAGCTGCTATTCTACATAATCTTTAGAAGGTCATTCAAAGACTTTCCTTCAATAATAAACTTGTAGAGAGCCAACGGAATAAAAACTCTAGATGAACAGGAAAAGATTAAAACAAATAACACAAAATACATGGGAGTGGAGATTGCTCTTATCCCATAAGGTAAAAGAAAAGTAATATTATTAGCTTGAGAAGACAAAGGACTTATGACTAGTCATTTTTAAACTGCACAAATTGGAGTGTTGGCTAAGTCACACAAAGCAAAAGCAGAACAACAACAACAAAATTAACAATACCTTTTTCTCGTAATATTTTCTTTCTGGTAGCTTGATGGGGGCAAGGAGGTTCTTCCATATCATGATCAGATTTTGAAGGAGAGGAAAGCGAAGTGTCTCCCCAAACAGAGGAGAAAGGCCCCCTTTCTGGGTGCAGCGGTCCTTCTTGAAACTCTGCTATGTGGTCAGGCGAGAAGGGCACATGGCTAGCCACTGGAGTGAGGGGTGGAACCCCAGAATCTGATTCTGGAGAAGAAGTTCTCAGACCCTTGGGCGGAACTGATTTGGTAATATGCATGAGGTTATAGAGACTGTTTGAAGGCTGTTGGTATAAGAGATTATACAGGAGGTTATGCCACTGTGATCAGTTCTATGCAATACTTACTTTGAAATAAGACCAACCTTTTTTTAGTGAATACCCATGAAAAGGAATATTTGTTTGTTGGTTTACCAAAAGGAAGGCATCGTTCATAACAATTCACCATATTAATGCTGAATCTACACAAATACCCAAAACATACAGAAACAATTACTTATACACTCATTATTTTCTACTAGGTAAAACTAACAGCTGAATATCAAAAGCACCATCATGAAATATGACAATATGGATAACATTCATGGCTATTTTGATGAATGAATAGAGAAAAAAGTTTGAATTATGATAATGTAAGAAGTTGTGTAAATTCAGGAGACAAAGACAGGAGCTATTCCAGTTGTTTCCAGCTAGGGCATAGATTCTGGTTGCAAAAGAACCATTATCTTCAGTAAGCTATAGGAATTATGAAAGAGTCTAGCACAAGTCTGAGAACTGTCAAGGATACCCACCTTTCGCTCTAGACTGTCCTCCCCATCTGTTGAACTGACACTATCATACAGTCTTGTCCTAGTGGGCCTCTGCCGCCTGTTCTTCACGGAAAGCTGGGCTCGAGTTTTTAGGACCTTTGAATCCAAGCGTTCTGTTTCTGGGACTGCTTCGTTCAAGTCTAAGAAAAGAACGATGCAAAATAATTAGTGAGAGAAACCTTTGGAAAAGATAGACAACAGACACTGAAAACAAAATATCAAGCTTATCAATAACACCAGGAAATAACACCAGGAAAGAGGCGATAACCATTACAGCCTGATAGCCCACAGATAACAAAGAAATTAGTAGGGTTTAGGAGAAATTGAGAAACCAACACTAAAGATGACCAAGGCAATAATGAAAATCAAACATCCCAAGAGCATAACATTTTCCTACAACATAATTATAAAAAGCACTGATTTGCATTCATTTACATGTATGCATGTTGGAGTGTTTGTAGTCACAGTTACCAGGCGAAAGTGTATCAAAGTGGGTAGATCTTAAAAATCCTAAAGATAAAAAAGTGAGGTTGCAAAGATCATGTGTGGGCACTAGCAGGTGACCAAGGGCATGAATTTTCTATTCCAAATTTCTGATAGGCTGTATCACTTTGGTCTTAATATATTTTCTACCCCAGTTCTGAAACCTAACTTGTTTCTCTTTGAATGTTGTAGAAAGATCAGAACAGAATTACAGAATTGATTTAACCAGAAAATTTAAGATAGTTGAAGAAATAAAACCAGATCTGGCCACATGAATAAAAATTAAACAACCAAAAGTACTAGCATTATGGATGCAGTAGGAAAAACATTTTCTTTTCTTTCATTAACTTCTAAGTTTATATTCTAGGTTATTTGTCTATGTTTCTGTCTCATTTCTTTTTCTGAATACTTTCTCTCTTCAACAGAAACTATGCTGGTTTTCCAGGAAAATGTTTAAGTCTTTAAATAAAAATACTCCAAGGGGAGAGGGAGGAAAAGGGGAGGTGGGGAGGAGGAGGAAAACAAAGAAGTGGGAGAGAGAGAAAGCGGAACAGAAAGACAATGAAGTAATAAAAGAAGAGTCCAATGTGGTCCTCATTAGTCTGTCTCTTACCACCTTTAATTGTGCCACCTAGACTTTAATCAGGACATGGAAATTAATATTCTAAAGAGGACAAGGAAACTTTACTCATGAACATATCTAGGTATTAGTTTCAGAAAGCATATTTTTCCCACATTTATTTGGAATGTTACTATTTCTTACATCTGCATATGGAATCACTCCTTCAAAATAAAGTATTTTGATCTTTAATACTATTTAATCTTTTCAGGATGGCAATCATCAAATGAAATCAGATTCAAGGAATTAGTAACTAAATGCTTCTGGATTTAAATTATTAAAAATAAGAAAAAACCTGAGTTCTAGAAAATATGCAAAGGTATTAACAGAATAAAACAAATTCTTCCAGTAACATTAGCCCAAGTAATTCCTTTTATAGCATTATTATAAAGATGTGTTCTAACTACAAAATAAAACTAAAACATGGAAGCATCTCATGTTGTGTCTCTTATTCATGAAATGGAGTATTTGGCATACGGTTCTAACAAATACAAGTAAATATATTTTTACCCAGAAGATATATCCATCAAATGACAACATTTACACAAGGTTTTGAATATTCATTTCCTTTACTTGAATAAAAAAAGAGTAATCAGAAAAGTCAGACCATGCAAGTATACATAAAGAAAAACTAGATATTTTCTAATTAGTATTCTCTTTACTTTTTTACATGCCAATGGAAAAAAAATAATCTCCTTGATCACTTTAATTTCCTCCTTCCAATAAAATCTATATTCACAGCTGCCCAGTAAGAGTTCATTAGTTGTGATAATTGGGAGAAAGTCAACCTTGCAAGCTATGTTTACATATAAAATGCAGAACATCACATAGAAGAAAGCAATAATATAATTAGAAAAGCTGCAGTACATGCACGTTTTACATCTTTTCTGTCTCATATTTGGATTGTATGATCTACAATACAAAATACTGTCACATTCTTCACCTCATTTGTTTCTCATTACAGCTTTGTGAGACAGAATGCAAGTGGATATTTTCCACTCCTGAAGCTGAGAAAACCAGAGTAGCTTACCCTTCTCTACAAAGCTAGCTGAGCAGCCATGATGATTATGGTATCTTGACTCCCATGCTACTGGCTACCCACTCCAATTTAGCTAATGTTGAAAGGTTACTACTGTTAAGATTTTAATGCCACCAGAGTCCACTATTTTAAGTTTTAAAATCATACAAGATGTGACTAATCTAGGAAACTCAGATCTTTCACAGTCTACATATGAATACTGCCATTTATCTTTCATATATTTATTAGGAAAAAAAGAAAGATATGTTGAGAACTAAAGAACAAACTACTTCTCAGATGATTTCATGTCTGGTTGGTTTGATAACTAGTTACTTGGTGATAGACCCAAGGAAGAAGTCTGTCTCATTTGTGTAAACATGGTTCCTTTTGCAATGGATTTCTGACCCTAGAGGACCCAGCAGAACACCCACATCCAAGACTGCATTGCAGTAGTTGCTCCATCACTAGCTACTGAACAAATAAAATGAGGAGAAATGAAAATGTCTTATTAGCAGGACTTAAGATTGCCGAGAATCTACTCTAAGATTCCAAGTTCTACTAATATTCAGTAATTTCCCTGGTATTGCTTTTAGACAACTCAAAATGGCAGTATGGTATATTTGCTTTAACATCAGTTGACTAGGTGCAAACTGCTTGAGCCCACTCACAAAATTATGTCTATTAGTGATATGTTTAGCTGGCATCTGAAAAGCATGCCTTAAACCCATTACAACACATTGCATGCACTTACCAGTTTTTGAGAGTCTGAAAGCAAATATCAGAGCCACTTTAGAGCAGTGATTGTGGATTACAAGCCAGTAATTTATATTCCATTCTGAATTTTTTTTTCTTTTTGAGAACCAGAAAAATGAAATGGTGCTGAGAACTTTGACTTCAACAGCACTTATACCAGAATGAAGCTGGAAGGAGCACTATCCATAAGATGCATAGACAAAAGACACTGTAAGTAACATTCTAATGAGTATTAGAAGAGATATGTGTACATGGGAGGAAAATGCACGAGACTTATGCTGCTGGGTAACCAGAAGTGTGATCTGTCTATCTTTTGCCACCATGAAACATAAGAACCAGAATGTTACACCTCAAGAGAACATTGGGATTCTGGTCCAAGCTTATTCTTCACATAAGAAAACTGAGGCTCAGAGAAGGCTACTCGTGTACTAACTTGTACCTTAAGTTATCTATGGAAGAGACTGGAAAGTGATCATGCCTAGAAACCTATGTTCTTTCTGGAGGGTCATTCTTACATATGGAAATAAACTACACATTCTTCTGCTTTCCTTGAATTCTCTTTTTGGTTTTATGTTCAGAAGAAAAATACATGTCAGGGACTAACTATGTAAACTCACAGAATTATATAGCAACAGGAAAGAAAAAAAACAGATTTTATTTGGCTTTGTATTTATCAAAGGAATAAAATTCTTATTAAAAAACATTAGCTGTCAGTTTTGGAGATGGCAGTGTGACAGGAGAAATACAACAGGCTCAATATTTCTAAGTTAAGTGCTGCTAGATGTAAGGGCTTAGGTAGCCATGTTCCTCATTGTCACTCATTCCCTAGAGAAAGATCTTAATAATACAACACTGCTTCCCCAAATGCAAGACCTCAGTTTTTCCCTTCTTTCTTTGCAATATACCTTGTTCTGTTGTCCATGAGGGTCAAGAGAATAATTTCCTTTTCCTCCTCTGATTTCTTATTTATTCTATCTTTTAGATCCTCTAGTCAGTTAAATAACCTGCCTTTGACTCAAATACAGCTAGAAATACAAAAGAGGAGCAGACTCAAGTGATCAATAGGTACAGGCAAATACATTCTGAGGAGATATGCAGGAGTTAATGATGGAGCAGTTTGTGTGGGCAGGACCTCACTTACCTGCATTTTTTAGAATAGTTTCAAATTGGAGTCTTTAAAAGAATTTAATGGATTTGATTACGATTTTAGCAGCTGTTATGAAAAATGCTCTATGAAATTAGGATGTTATATATCATATTACACAGAGACTAGTTCCCTACAGTAATACTGTGAGTCATTCAGTTTTTTTCACTGGATTGACGTTATTTTTGACGTAAATGGAATGTTGCCCAAGGATCAGATACAGGCAGCAAAGGAACCAGGGGAATGGAGGAGCATAACAATGGGGTCTGCTCCACATTCATATGTACATTATTCCCCTCAAAAACAGTCACACCTCACTTATGCTGCTGTCAACTGAAAAGTGGAGCATAATGAGGCACTCGGTGCCATTTTAAAACTTGAACAGTATCTGCATATTATTCACAGTTACTGCAAGTTCTAAAAGATGGGCCCACTGGGATTTGGGTTGATGCGTATTGCATTCAGGAGGTAGGTTTATGAAACTCACAGAGACAGTGTAAAATGGTTTACTCTGAGAGTAGACCTGGAGTTAGTCTTCCTGGAATAGAATCCAGAACAAGCATCTCTACCACAAAATTGGGCAATTTACCTAACTTCTCAGAGGTCCCTCAGGATCCTCAACTGCAAACCTGAATGATAATAGCATAACATAATCACTGCATTGTTATGAAGATTAAATGCATTATTAGATCTGAGTGCTTAGAAGAGTGACTACTACATAATAAGCACTCAAATGTCTTTATTTTTTGACATACAGAGATTAGCAAGTCACTGAGTAAAGCAAGTTGTAAAACAACATGTATCATTCATTTAAAATATTCAGAAAACAGTAACATTAAAGATTATACATTTCCTAATGGTAAATAGTTGCTTAGAAAAACTGTAAAGACACACTTCCTACCAGACTATTAGATTAGGGGATGTCGGTCAAAAGGTACTTTAATCTTATGTGTAATGTGAATTTTTTTCATATTACATATTTTATGTAATCTTATGCATTTATATATTACTTTTATACTTAGAATTAATTTAAAAAGAGGAAAAAAAACCCCAACATATTTGGTATATTTTCTTTTAGACACATCTTAATTCCATTTTAATTTGATTAGCTCTGCTGTTTCAG